TGTGAGTCCATTCGTAGTACAAGTGGAAGGAATTTGAGTCTTTATTGTCACATGATGTATGGTCTACTGGAGGAAAGGAAAGAGAATATACTGACCCTCTCTGATGTAATGTCTGCTGGTAGGGACAATAATGATTACTTTATACCAGATAAGAGAGAAGACGTCTTGGATGCTCTTCATTCATTGCACTCAACTGGTTTGATCAGTGTTCTTAAAAGTGAAGACAAGGTATGGGTTGTTGTGAATAAGGGTATACTACTAACTGAGGTGAATGGGATTCTCTTTGCTCCAAAGACATTCAAAGAACACGTTGACATTGCTAGCAATACTGGTATTGTTAGTGTGTCTGATCTGACTAGACTCTTCCCTAAATATGATCCTGACATGTTGATCTGTTTTCTGAAAAACATGGAACTCTGTCAAGAATTGGATCCATCTTTTCTAAGAATGACAAACTTATTAGCTACAGGAAACAGTGCCTCAGAGACTCAAAGAAGAGGAGAAAGGTATTTGTTTTTTCCATGTCTTTTTACTCTTCTGCGTATCAATAATGACAATGTTAAGGAGATGACTAGTCAAGTATACCAGTTTGGTTGGTGTCTACAGTGTACTAGAGAGCATGATTTCTTTCCTCCTCGATACTTCCATGTCCTCTCATTACATCTTGCTTTCAAGCTTTCATTATCAAAAGGGAACAAAGAATTAGCTGAAAAATTGAATCGTAAATGCAAATTTTGGAGCAGTGGTCTTCATTGGTTTGATGGTTATGGTGTTGGATCACTGGTAGAGATTGTGGATGAGAGCCAGTGTGTACTAGTAATGATGTCCTGTGAGAAAGGTTACAATGACAATATGGTGTCTCTAAGAAGAGATGTGATAGGAGAGGTAATGAGTATTTATAAAGAATCCTGTCCCAGTCTAGAGGTAAAAGAGTTAGTTATTGATCCTAAAGAACTAGCCTATCCTGTGAATACACCGAGAGAAAGGACAGTGTATGATGTTTGTGATTTACTATCAGCAATTAAGGAAGGAAGGCCATTTCTTGTCAGCAATAAAGGACATAAAGAATTGAAGGAAATCCTACCTGATGAATCATTATCAGACATTAGTAACCTGTCACTATTAGGAGGACGTGATATTAAGGTAAGAATTAAAACACATTATTTAGTTAACTGATATTTATTGTAGGGAGTATTAGGAGGCTCTTATACTCCAAAAGGTGATCAGATCAGTGAGTCTAATGATGATCAACAAAAAGGTATAACCACTCACTATCACTAGTTTCACATTATTTATTTATTTATAGTTACATTGACTATCAAGGACCTGGTAGATATTATACGAGTGTTAAAAGATGGTAATTTTCAAACTACAAAATGGTTGAATCTTGGTCTCTACTTGGGTCTGATTCATAATGATCTCAAGGTTATTGAGACTAACTATCCACGAGATGCTGAGCGATGTCTTAGAGAATGTTTAGCAAAATGGCTTACAGATGATATTGAAGCAACATGGAACAAACTAACTATTGCTGTAGGTGAAGTAGGAGAGACATCAGTTGCTGAATATATACATGTAAGTGAGAGTATAATTAATATTATTAATTAATAATTGAATGACTACTCTAGAGGAACACTTTGTGCCTGATTAGGAGAAGATAAAGTGCCGGAGAGAGAAAGGAGGTCCCATATTGTACTCCTTCCTCATAGCTAGTTTAATGTGTTCATTCATTGTCAGTGTACTAATTAGCTGAGCTGTCATCATGTACTAATTTCCCTATCTCTATAACTAGAATTATTACTGATAGCATCAAACTATGTTTATTATTATAACTAATGTTTATCACCTAATGAATATTACATGTACTGCTGTAAAAGGAAACCTAATTATATTTATAAACTTGTTTGTGTGGTCTATAGTATTATTGAGTGTAGCACATGATTGACATGAACTAGCAAAGGTTAACAATGCAACACTGATTAAAGTCAGTGACAATTTGTGGCAAGATGATATTAATGCAAACAAACATACAAGTACATGTATACATACTGTATCACTGCTTTAATATCCTGAGCCACTCGATGGGCATCCACAACCAAATGACTAGTGACTAAAGCAAGGCATGTTAGCAAGCTGGAGATTGTAACACATACTGGTAAGATATTATTGATATTATTATTAATATTTTATTATTATTTATTGTAGCGGCACAGACTACACCAGCAGGAGGACATCATAAGATGTATAAAGAGAGAAATAGAAGGAAGGAAAGAGACAAAGGTGGGGGATTCAACAACAAGTGATGCAACTTGAAGCAAAGAACAACGAACTGTCATAAGTAGGAAGAAGAAGAATGATATTAATAATTGGTATTCTTTCATTGAATTATATTGTACATATAGTCATTACAAAGAAGTCAAGAGCAGGAATTTGCACAAAAACTAAAATTGATGAGTTGAAGGCTAAACAAAGCATTGGAGATAATCTTAAAACAGAAGTGAGTGTATTACATGTACAGGTACATGTACATATATACATGTACATTGTTGTATGTTAATACAGTGTCTGTTAGTTATAGTATAGTGTATTCACTCCATTAGAACCTGCACCTGTTTCATGGTCGTTGGCCTCTTATTAGTGGTTTTACTATTGTTATTGTAACTGTACTAGCATCGGTTATACCTTTAGAGTAGATAGAGAATGTAGGAAGTGGCTGAGGTCAACTATTCACTTATTGTATTGGT